ACTTACTTACTTACTTACTTACTTACTTACTTACTTACTTACTTACTACTTACTACTTACTACGTACTACGTACTACTTACTACTTACTACTGACGACGACGACGACGACGACGACTACTACTACTACTACGTACTACGTACCACGTACTACGTACTACTACTACTACTACCACTACGACTACTACTACTACTACTGCTACTACTACTACTACTACTACGTGCTACTACTACGGACTACTACTACTACTACTACTACTTCTACTACACCTACTACTCCTACTCCTACTCCTACTCCTACTACTACTACTACTACTTCTACTACACCTACTACTCCTACTCCTACTCCTACTCCTACTACTACTACTACTACTACTACTACTGAGACTACGACTACCACTACCACTACCACCATCACTACCACTACGACTACTACTGCTGCTACTACTACTACTACCACCACTATTACTACTACTACGTACTACTCCTACTACTTCTCCTACTACTACTACTACTACTACTACGACGTTTACTAGCAACGGTTTCCAGTTGTCCAGCAGTGCAGCCCGGCGCTTGGACAGTGTTGTTGAAAAAGTGTCTTGAAGCCTCAAGACTGAATGATGTTTTTTGAAACCACAAAGTTGAGATCACTAGATGTATATAGATGACACAGTGTATGACATAACCTTAGCTCAGAAACGCCTCATGTTTGGAAAACGCGTTTGTTTACGCGAAATGGCGTTTGCAAAGGAACTGCGTAGCGTCAACGTGCGTTATTTTTTGAAACCGTAGTCGAACTTTTGGGTTGGATTGCGTCTCCCCATCGCGTTCGGCAAACCGGGGTGTCGTCCACAACCTGATACGTTAACTTTTTGGTTCCAGTCTTGCATTGGTAGATTTGTATTTCCGCACCGGCCCCACGATGGCAAGCATGCGCACATCTGTGTGGTTGAACGTTTTGTCCTTGCAGATTTTGAACGCATGGGCAACTTGGCATGCATTTGTCACTGGTGTGACAGTAGCCGGGGGTCTTTCAAAACATGCGGCGGTTAGATGAGGCATTTCCTGTGCTCTCTGCTGAACAGTATCCGGGTTATGAAGTGCCTTGGCCAATGGGCATTGGAACGGCAGCGCCCTGGCCCATCGCGCCAGCCCAGCATTTTTGTGTTCATGTATCTTTTATGTGCTCCATATGCGCCATTCCATTGGCATTCTGTGGAGTTCCATTCTTGCAGGTCTTGGAGGTATTGAGGGAAGCTGGGAACTTTGTCCGGGAACTTCCAAAACAAGTTGAGAAGAGTGTCGGAACAGAGGCGGCTGTGGGGCGCGAAACTGACCGGCGGGGCCGGTGGCTGAAATTTCGATCGTGGAGCGCATGCATTCCAATCTTAAGCATGTGTGTGTTTGTTTTTGACACGTGCATGTAAGCTCGTGTCTTTTTGCCATCATGCCGTCGACATTGCCCGTTGGACGATTTGCGTTATGAAGGCAGCACCGTCAACAGAGGAACCTTTGCGTCCACGCGTGCCACATCGTTTCTCATCGAAGATGACGGTCATCTCCTCCGAGACAGGCACGTCTTGGTGATGTGATTCTTTGTCGCTTTTCAACTTTCCAATCCGATTCGGAACCTGAATAACACAGGCGTTCCTTCAACCGGCGCTGGTTTCTTCGCGCAAGATGCGGATCGCAAGACCATGCGCTTGGAAAGCCTTCGGCCTTTCCCTGGCACGGGAGAGTTGTTGACCAATATGACCAGTTTGTGACGTGGTTGGCAGCAGTTGTAGCAAACATGTGGCCGGTGCCGCCCAAATGTATGAAATGGAAGAGGCACCGTTTTTCTTTTTTTTCAGTCCTTGACTCTTGCCCCCTTTCCTCGGAGGAAGCATGACGCCGAAACCGTGGGCGCATGCGTGACTCGTTCTCAGGATGCGGGCCAACGAGTCCTGGGACATCACAGGCGGCAATCACCCCATGTGCCGACAACTGCCCATGTTTGGGGCACAAAGCCTTTCGGCCGCAGACATGAAGGCTTTGAGTTCATAGACAAGGTTCAGTCGATCAACCGGTCAACCGGATGCTGGTTTTGTTCTGCGTTTTTTTTGTTCGCGTCCGTGCCAGCTTAGGATTTGCAGATCTCTTCTCCTGGGCTGCCAGCCCAATTCTTTCCCAATATGCCGGTGAGCGCACAGTGGACGGGAGGAATTGTTCCTTGTGGCGCCTGCACGCCAAGAGCCTCAGCACATGACGTTTGGTGTTAGTTCGCGGTCTGAAACCACACACTGCGTCGCACCGGAACTGAGGAATGCCTCCATGAGCTTGTGTGCAAGTGGTGACATTCCCGTGGAGCTGAACATGAGTGTGTTCATCAAGGGTAGCGCCACTGATGCACTTGAACAAGCTGATCCTCAAGCTGTCTTCGTGTATCCTATCATTTGCTCGTGGGTTCTGACCTCGGTGTGGGAATGGGCGCCAAGGCACTGGCAGCGCCAAGAACTTCAACAGTACTTATCGCTTCTTCGGTGCGCTGACGGTCGGGAGCGAGGCCCATCCGGGCGAACGGCAGATGAAACGATGGGACCACGGGCTACCACGGGTCATGGTTCATGTGTCAAGGGTTTTACACTGTGCAGGTTCAGGGTCAAAGCATGCAATGAAGAACCCACAGCCTTCATTTCGACCAATGCGTGTGGTTCCGTGACGATGCGAGGTGCCGGACTTTCTCTTCCAGAAGCCTTCGATCTGTGGAAGCTTTGTCCCTCCGTGTGAAAACGGCCGAGGGCTTGATCCGGTTGAGCTGGCACCTTGGCAACGAAGAAGAGCGGCGACGGAACAATTCTGGCAACATACTTCTCCCCCTCAAGTCCTGTGAGCCGTCCAGCGTGGAAACAACCGTGCCGTGCTGTTTGATCGTGGGCCGTGCTGTGGAAAGAACCGGTCCGTCTTGTTGACAGGATGCTTACGTCTTTCACCCGGGTTTGTCAGTTGCCGACTACAACATCGAGGACAGTTGTGATCCTTTGGGCCAAACTTCTTTGTCAGGCCGCCTGTGTGTTTTTTGCTCCAGGTTGTTTGTTTGATCTCGGACCCTGCGAAGGATCAAAATGTTGCAGATCTGGCTGGGGACGCGCTCTTCATTTGCATGGACTGCTTGCAAAATCAGTCTTCATTCATCGATCACAACTACAGCTTGCGGCTGGGCAGAACAGACAGAGCTCCACCGTCTCGGAGCCATCTGTCAGAAGCGTGTGGGAGAGCATCTGAGGATCTCCCGGTATATACTCCAAGTCTCTCCGGCCTTTGGGCAGCAGCTTGGCGGACTCCTCTGCGGCTCAGTGTTGGCTACCTCAGATCCCACTTGTGTTTGTTCTGAGAAGGTATGCCTTGTGCAATGGCTACCCCGACTGGCCCTTAGCTTCCACATCCGTGCACGAAGCCAAGCAGTTTCGCCTCGTCGTCATCCTTGTCGCCAATCCGTACGCCTCAGGACACCAAACCCCCCGGACCTTCGTGCATCGGGGGCGATCCTCGTTTGGTGGGGAAGGAGGCGCCCTTCTTTGCGGGCGATGATGAGAGCAGGTGCCGGGAGCCGGGGTGGCCGGTAGGGTCGTTTCAGGCGGCAGACTTCAGAGTGAGGATCGGCTGCAGTCTTTTTTTGGAGGATTTAACCCCTCCAAACCCAGAAGGGACAAAAGATGAAGCTCTTATTTTCCAAGGGAAACGGCTCGCGAGTGAGCTGAAATCCCGCCAACTGTGGCTGGCCACACTCGAGTTGACTGCCAGACCGCCCCAGATCGCCAGGTGCACTGCGACGAGTCCCATTGGCTTTTGGCGTCTTGCTTGGGCCAATCCGGGAGCATGAAGAAACGAGCACAAGGCTGTAGGTGAACAAGCTAGGCAGGATCTTCTGGCAATGTTCTGAGTAACTCTTCAGTAGCCTATGTTGCTGCATGGTTTCCAAGAACCAAACAATCACATGAAGAAGACTCTGAAACGTTTGTTTCAATATGTTTTCTCTTGGCCGAGCTCCGGTCATGTCCAACCGACCGAAAAGAACACCCCGGCTGACTCGTTGGTGAGGTTTGGCCTGCCAAAGGGTGGCCACTGCCCCCCGGGGCAGGTGCCCGGCAAGGATGCCTGGGCCGGTGGCTGCACTTGGTCCGTGCAGAAGCGCCTCAAGACCATTCACCAGGCCAGGTGTGGGGTCAGGGGAAGGACACAGAATGACAGTGATTTGGTTTTGTTTTCTGAAGCAGGAGGGTAGGGGCTTTGGAGGTGAACCTTTCCAAGATCAAACATCTTTTCAGACTACTCAGCGTGTCAATACGTCTCATCATCTGTATTCACTTACAGTCTGGATTACGTCATCTTTCTAGAAGATTGCTTGGCAGCCTCTGCGAGGCTTGCCTGCTGAAGGACCATGGCTATTTGAATTATTGCAAGGCAGACTTTCTTGAGAAGAAGGGCTTTCCCAGGAGCGACGCGACGTCCCAAACTCCCAAACGTGGTGATGTGTGGTACTCCTGTGTGGTGTACTGGTGAGCTAGCACGTGAGGGCCCACCGATCGACAGGAGCATGGCCGCCCTACAGGCTGCTTTTGCGTCCGAGGCCACAGAATGTGCAGTCTTGGCTGTAGTGCGGCTGAAACCCACATGGCAACAGAGAATGCAGCTGAGATGTAATATATATATATAATATTTACAAGGGATGGTGATTTCTAGTGAGATTTTTTTACTTTTATTAAAGTGGAACATTTGATGCTTTTTTGTGGTTAGGTGGCTTTGGGCTTTTGGCTTCTGTGTGGCTTTTGGGTTGTGCAGCTTTTGTGGCTTTTGGCTTCTATGTGGGTTTTGATGACTTTACTACTTTTCTAGTCAAAGTCTCTACTTTTGATGCCTTTCCCCTCAAAATCTCTACTTTTGATAACTTTTCTCCTGAAACATGTTTGATGAATTGTACTACCGAATTCTTTGCTCTTGATGACTTTACTAGTCAAAATCTCTCATTTTGACCCATTATAATCGCTACTTTCGACAACTTTTCTGGTAAGATCGCTATTTCTTATGATTTTTATATTGAAATCTCTTTGTTGATGAGTGTTCTATTGCATTCTTTGCTTTTGATGACTCTTCTAGACAAAATTCCTACTTGTAATGCCTTTCCCATTGAGAACCACACAGACCACCCAAAAAAAGAACATCCAAACAAACTCTTAAACATTCCCAATTACAGCCCCCCTTTAAAACCCATTTCAAGACCAATTCCGTCGCCCCTGTGAGGACCCAACCCAAGGAGGATGCAAGGATGTGGGCGGACCTGATTCCGAGCCGGAATCCATTGTTGTTTGAAGAGACGAAGGCCGGGCAGGGCATGGGGCGAGAGTGGGAGTCTCAAGCAGATGGTACCTTTTTTCAAGGCGTTTTGGTGCGTGATGACGGCATAGATGTTGGTGAAATTGGTGGAGGGCCGGCAAGTCGCCGCTGAAGCTGCGGCGCCCTCGCAGCGATGCGAGTGCTAGGTGATGAGGCACCAGGGAGGAAGGGCGAAGTTGAGATGTGGGGAGCCCGGCTCTTGGTGCCTTTCTTCTCCTAGAAGCGAACAGTTTCCTGTCATTCTGCTTGGGAATTGGCAAGATGGACCGCAGAAGCCGCTGGGCCATCCTTTTGTGTGAATGATGCTTGAGACCATCAAGCTGAAACACTTTTCGCGGCAAGTTCAGCCCAGAACATTCGCGCTGACCGTGAAGCGCTGACCAAAGGTGGAGCAGGGTTGTGGTTGAGTGGTTGATTGATTTGTCAGACTCGAAGGCTCTCTTCATGGCTTGACACATCTGGACACGCTGTAGTGATGTTGGTGCCAACTATGGAGGTATTTCAGGCCTTGCTCAGAAGCGGTTCATTGAGTTTAGTTTGGCGTATCAACAGCGGAGGTGAAGTTTCCTTCAGCCTTTCGGTTTCAGTTTTGTGTCGAAAGGTCGTGTTCAATCACTCACTAGCTCGCTTCAGTCACTCACTTACTCACTCAGTCACTCAATCAATCAGTCAGTCAGTCAGCTGAAAGACAATCAATCAGTTGAAGGAACATCACACGACTCATTCTTTTGATTTTTGGAAAGCCGAAGCACACTTCACGCGCCAGCGTCGCTGCTCATCTACCCAGCATTGCACTGTGCGTTGGTCAGTTGCAACCCCAAACGATCTCGAAACCTTGTGGCGCACTTGAGCAACAACACCTCCTCTTTGTTCCTGCGCCGCCATGGCTCCGCCTGCTTCGGATGCCGATCCGGCCGATGCCGCGCTCCGTTCGGCTTTGGGGGGATGAAAGCGCCCAAGGCCTTGAGTCCCAATGGCTACGGACCGAACTCCCGTGCGGTCGCACGGGACCCTGCCAAGTCGGGCCAGACCTCGAGCCAGTCGAGTCCTGGTCCACGGTCGATCGATGAAGCTATCACTGACTTGAGCAAGCTGCAGTTGATGCTTGCAGTCCCTACGGTGTCGGAGTTGCGGATGGCCCGGCCACTACGCCGCTCGGAGGGGGAATTGTATGTGGCCCAGTTCGTGCTGCAATCCACACATCGGAAGTTCAACAAGTTCTTGAGCACGCCAGAGGGAAAGTGTCAACTGCACCCGAATTTGAAGCTCGGCAGTGCTGATGGCGAACTGGGTTCCGATGAAGGTGGATCCTTTGGCAGCCTCGAAGATGGCACACCAGTCCTCTATCAGACCAATGGGATTGCACGCACCGAACAGCCAGTATTGAACCGCTCCATTCGCTGCAATCGGACCGGTGCCCCCGGTCACTACATGGAGACGAAGATGTTAGTCGCGCGCCCCCGTGACACGGGCTTAGTGGGCTTGGCACGAGCCAAGACCATCAAGACTCGTGTGGATCTTCAGGCCAATCTGTTTTATTCCTTCACCAGCTGCTGGCAGATTTATGCCTGCTCGGCGAACGTCGGGCAGCTGGGCGAGGAGGACTCCGGAGAACGCATCCTCGTGCGCCGGTCGGTGAGGGATTTTCAGCAACATCATTTTCATGACTTTCCCGTGGCGAAGCATCTCGCCGATCTGCTGGACCGAGAGAATGAGGTGCTGGTGAAGGGGCATAGCTTCGAAGTCGGAGAGATTGAGAAGGACTTGTTCGACTACCACTGTTACACTCTGCGATCCTGGCAAACCTATGAGTGTGAAGGAAGGCCCCCTGAAAGTGATGTTGGACGGAAACTCCTGGAAGCTGCACGGAACGGCCAAGTTTCGGAAGTCAAGCATTTGATTTTGAATTGTGGGTGCCATTGTGACACCATTGTTTCGGAGTTTGGTTGCATTGGCAGTGGCAAGTCTGGCATCTACACTCGGACCGATTGCGGCTTTGCAGAGGAGCGCACCGCACTCATCGCTGCAATTCAAGCGGGGTGGCGCTCAGTGGTCGAAACGATTTTGGAGTTTGTACGTGTAGGGCAAGCAAGCCTGAACGTGGTTTGCCATGAGTGGAACCCAAGGGGAATAGGCGGAGATTGCCTGCGGCCCTGCTACACTGCACTGGACCAGGCCAAGCTATACCACCGTGAGGACATTATTCCCTTGCTGGAGGCTGCTGGAGCACTTCCACATAAGAGGTGCAAGAAAAGCCGTCGGGAGAATCCCTTTGATGTCCGAGCCAGGCAAGATCGAGGCGAACATCGCGAGGAGCAGCCAAAAGATTCGGCTGGCCGTGAGGATCGCTATGAGGATTTCACATTCTCAGAATGGGCTGATGAAGCGCAAATGGATAGCGACATGAAACAGGCAAAGGGGACGAGGTTTGTGAGGACACCAGGGAAGACAATGTGTTTTTCCACGAACACCGTGAGCACCAGCCATTTTACGCTTGAACTGTGCTGCTTGTGCACTACTTTTTGGCAGTATGGGAGGTGTAGCCGTCAACCGATGTCCCCAACCTGTGTGAAAACCATGTCCTGTTGCCGCTGCTGCCGCTGTTCTGCTGATGTGGGCTGTTGTCGTTGGGCTCGGTTGTCGGGGTCGCCTTATGGCGCTGTTCGTCCCGTGGGAGTGAGGTTCGGTTGAACCGTAAGGGACGACCAGGGCCGAAGGGACATCTCGATGTGACAAGGAATGCTGGGTCATGTCACTGGAAAGAATGCCCCACTGTTGACCTACGGCCGCTATCGACAGCTTCGGAACATGGGCAAGTGCACCGTCCCTGAAAGGACACATTTTTAAACACGCCATATGAATTTGGCCCGTCAATGTTTGCGACCCTTTCTTTGGACTTTTGTTCGATGTAATGCAGCAGTGTGTTGTGCATGTAGGGTTTGGGCCGCATGACCTTTTACCCTTTTATCTACATGCTACATGCTGCACGTGTTTTTCTTTCAGGTGTTGAACATGTGTCTCCTCAGACCCTCTTTCTAAAGGCGGTGGAAAGCCTCAAAGAAGAGCTGCAGCAATACGGCAACCTGTCGGAAGCCGAGCAAACCAAACTCTTCCGCAAGCTGAGTGCACGCTGGCATCCGGATAAGCACCCGGACGAGAAGAAGGTGATGGCCACTCGAGTCTTCCAGTGGATCCAGCATGTCAAGGATGAAGCCTGGGAGAACAGAGCATGGTCGGCTTAGCGTTTTTCGTTTCGTGTGGAGCGGTCATCGGCGATGAGAAAGGCCTGAAGAGACAAAGCATGATTGTGCCATCAGATTTTGACTGAATGACGTGGGTTTCTGTGTGGGCACCTGGAGAAAAGTGGTCGACATGGATTCATTGGTGTGGACTTGATCGGTTTTATCACTCGCAGCTTCTGGTGTTGATTTGGGGATGGGTCAATTCCTGAAGTCTCAACATCATGTAGCGAATGACCTGCCAGGTAGGTCATTGAAGTTCTTGGAGCCTTACGACTCGCCGCAGCCGAGTCGTTTCGAACACGCCTGAGAATGGGGCATGCGGCTTGTGCTTTGGGATGTGCTGTGGGGCCCTCAGCTTTCATGGAAGCGCCAAGCTGTGAGGAAAATCTGAACTGGTGCCAATCGCAAAGGACAGAGGTTGCTCTGGATGTGGAACTTCAACGCAAGTGGTAGAGGTGGAGGCAGCAGACGCCGACTTGGAGAAGGGCATACGGGGCATATGGGGCTCGGGCGAATCAGACTGTTGACAGTCCATCCACAACCATAGGTGCTTTAAAGTTGCCCAAGCTTTCATAAACATTGCAGTTACTGTGCCAATCAGCATCTTGTGCAGGCAAACCGCTCCGTCAGCTGTACTGTGTCGAGCAACTAGCGGATTCAGGGTATGGAACCTCGCATCAGGTTGCAAGCGAGACACTTTCATCAAGACCGCGCCACCCTTGTCAGCAGGCATGAGTGCCTGTTGTTGCTGGGAGGTGCAGAGGAGGTTGGCACTTCTTTGACCAGCGAAAAGTGGACAGTGTGCAGAAAGTGTTGCTAGAGATTGAGCAACGTGCTCTTCCATGCTCCACCGAGGTCCTTGAATACAGCAAGACAGGGCCCAAAAGCAAAGGAAGCATCCAAAAGCAAGATGTATAAGTCCTAACTGCCCTCTCTCCAACGTCGTGCATGCCTTGGTGGCCAATCCCCCCAAAGGAGGTGGGTCTGAGTTGGTGTGCCTTCTTGAACCAGGACACGTGCCAAAAACCTCGTTCGGGTGAATGGGAGCAGTTCAGCTCAGGCCAACCTCGAGTCTTGGCACGGCACCACGTCCTCCGCGCCCGTCAGGGTCTCGGCGAAGCGGAGCGGAGCGTGACGGAGCGGCGAAGCCTCGTTCTGAGGCGCCGTTGGAGGTGAGGCCCGTGAAAGGAGACGAACGTGTTGGGGGACTCAGCCTGGTTTTTCTCAAGAACTTGGTGACTAAGAGGAGGTTGTCTTCTTTTCTTTTTTGGTTGGGGAGGGGGGGTGATCTCTTGCCAACTAGTCATGTTCTGAAACGGCCTTTTGAACACCAGATTTGCACCAACAGCTCCACTCTGGAGCTGAAACGCCGGCAGCGCCGCGCAGCGCGGCAGCGGCTTCGCGGCTTCGCCTTCGAAACGTCCCGTGGTCGCCCTCCGATTCGAAGTTTCCAGACCTCCGAGGCAAAGGGCTCCCACTTGGCGCCTTTGCCAACTCTTCATCTAGACATGCCATGCCCTCAGCCGCCTTCAGCTGGAAGAACACCCGTTTTGCCTGCAGCGCTGAGAGAGCCGACGCGGAGGCTCGTTTTGACGTTTCGCTTCGCTTCTTCCAAGGCCAGCAGCTGTGGCTGCCGCCTTTCTTGAAAGCACGAAGGCAGAGGCACCTGCTGGCGGAGCATGCTGCAACTGACCATCCACACCCCAGGGTTTATCTCCCCTGGTTCTTTTCTGGTGCTTGTGTGCCGAGCCTTTCGACGTCTCTACGCAAAAGACATGAAGCGCCGGGAGCTGGAGTGGCCCAGGCCGATGCCAAGCATCGCCGGAAGCTGGCCTGCCGTGCCGCGCGGCAGGAGGCGGCCCAGTCCCGCCCGGCCGAGTGGCGGGCTGGTCCCCAGCCGACTGGTCCAGTCCGGCCGACCGTGGTCTGGAGGCCCAGAAAACGGTCCAAACGCCGGGAGGTAGAACACCGCACCAGTGAAGTGGCATGCACCAAAAAAGTGGACATCGCACAACTCTGCAAGTGAAGATGGTGAAGGGTAATTAGCCAAACGGGGGATCAGGGGTGAAGATCCTCCCAGACTTCAACTTCATTGTGTAGATGGGCTCCTGAAGTTTTTGGACCGTCGCTGGGGTAGAAGAGGGGTTTCACAACACCCTGGGAGAATGGCTGTTATGTTTCGCATTCGCACACCTGAGGGCATCATGTGAAGGACGCCTCGAACGGGAGGACCCCAAAGCGGTCGCAGTGGTGTTTTCGACCCAAAAGAGAAGCCAATCCGTCCCGAGGCTCCTAGCGATGCCCTTTGCTCCTAGTAGCGATGCCCCTGTTCCTAGTAGCTTCTTGTTACTAGTAGTACGGCCAGGAGCCCCTAGAAGCCACTCCGTCCCGGGCGCTATCCCTGTGTTTCTTCCTTTCTCGGGCGTCGCGACCGCCTGAGGCTCTGGACTCGCCACGAGATTTACAGCCGTTGGGTCTGGATGGTAAGTTTGTCTTGAACTTGGAGGGTGTGTCATTTGTCCAAACGCTGCAAATGAGCACCGCAAAATCCCCGCAAAACATCAGCAAAACAGATGAACTTAGAGGATCCTCGTGCGTGGTCCAAACGCGCTTGTCAAACGTGCATGTTTGTCACATCTTTCCAGTTGTTGTTGTTGTTGCTGTTGTTGTTGTTGTTGTGGTGGTGGTGGTGGTGAAGGTCAGCAGCGGTGCAATTAGACAAAGGTTGCAGGAGATGGAGGCCCCGGTGTGAGTCTTCAAGCTGTGAGCTTGGTGCACAAGAACTGGGTGAAACATGTGAAGAAACTGATGAACAGTCATGAAAGGCCCCACATGAATCATCAGTTGTCAGTCTTTTGCAGGATGCAAGCTTCTCCAATCGTGTGCGATAGTGAGCCGAATTCGGACTGGGGACCTAGAACATCTTTGAGCCCTGGTGCGGTCTGCAAAAAGGGATTTGCGCGAAGGCAGAAGCAAAGTTGCAAATGGGCCGCGCAGACGAGTGGTTCAATTCGAGACATGCATGTCGCTTCTTTGAGCCCGATGCGAAGAAATGCATGCATCGTCACTGCGGTCTTTTTGGTTCTTTTTCTCCACCGGCTGCTGGGCTTCGGGCGGCCAAGCGGCCTCAGTGCTTTTCCCGCTCCCACGGGTGGCGTTTGCTACCTGCGAGCCTATGGACGTCAAGCAGCTGGGATGCGAAGGCCTTAGGGGTTGCGCCAGGGATGGGAGTGAGGTCGCTCCAAGGCAGGCCCCTCTGAAAGCTGGGCAACGGGTCGCCGAAGTGGCGGCCGTTTTCGGATGGCGCATGCCGAAACGCGGATTTGGTTGTAGAATATGGTTTGTGGCACATAAGTCACATGGTCATGCCACATGTGTGCTGCGAAGGTTGTCCATCGATGTCCGCAAAAACCCACCCCATGCACAGCCTGAGTAAATACAACGAACCTAGACGAAAACAACACATTTGCAAATTTGGGTGCCTGTGCGGTTTTGTAAAGAAACACCAGTCATACTTTGGGTTCCTCCAGCTTCGTCCCGTCCTCCACTGAAGTCATCTTCAGGGATGCATGGACGAGCACAGAAAGAGCACAGGCCTGAACGTCAGGGCAAGGACTTGGACTTTTGTATACTCCCTCAAATGAACATGGAGGTGGAGTTGGCCCCAAGTGTGGCATCAGAAATCCTCATGTTCATCCTTGCGGGGCCCATCCACGTAACCATGATGAGAAATCAGGGAGTGGACGAAGAAGCTTTGTCAGAGCTTGGATGCTCCAAAACAATTGGTGCGGATGTCTCGTTTTCCCTTCGTGTCAACTCTTCAGCCTCTGTCTGCTGCTTCGTGCTGTGCTGCTGCAGGCCCGCGACTGGCTGACGGGAGCAAGACAGATCAATCGGCAGATCGCGTCAGACAATGAGGACGCACACGAGTGACCTGAGAGCCTGAGTGACTGAATGTTGCTGCACGGTTTGATGGAAGAAGTCCCGGCACCAAGGTTTTCTCCACAGCATTTGGCCTTGGATGTGGTGTAGGATACTAAAACAAAACAGGACTGTCCTCCAAGTCCTGCAAAAGCTAAAATAGAACCGTCCTCCGAAAGCTAAATGAAAAAATCAGCAGTAGGACTATCCCAGTGGTTTGTTTTGAGTTTCTGCCCTCCAATATAGCTGGGTGCACTTTGATTGCACCTTGGAGTTGGAATTGTCGTCCCCCATTGCCTCAAATGTCCAGCTACTTGCTTCAAAGGAATTGGCGGAGCTGGTGCAGACCTTATCCCGAAGATTCATGAAGCTTTAGGATTCTGGACTTCATTTTCTGCATTCTCTTTTGTCAGGTGAATTCAGCCAAAGACTTGCTGCCACGAAGCTCCAGCGTCCCAGTCAGAAGCCCAATACGAGATTCAGTGACGGGATCCTTCCTTGAGCCTTTTTGGATAGGTAGATTCAAGGCATTTCAAGGACATCTGCGTTTCCGATCCGCTGCACCACTCCACCTCACGTTTGTGGATGTTTTACTTACTGTTTGTTCTCCTCCCCACTCCAACAAGAAGGAACGTCTTACATCCCTTCACGCTTGCTCGTGCTTCGCCCCCCGCCGATCGGGGTCGGCACATGGGATCCAATGGTCCATCTGCTATGCCTGAGGCGGGTGGTGCCCGCCACGCAGCAAAGGTGCTCAGGGAGGAGCGACACGCCTTTGTGCCTTGGGTGGCAGGGACTTTTGTTTGGTGTAGTTGAGGCGGTCCTTGCGAATCAGAAGTTTTTCCGCAAGAGAGAGAGAGAGAGAGAGAGAGAGTGAGAGAGATAACTATTAGATCATCAGATCCCTCTCTTGTACCGACTGCTACTACAACTATGTCATAACTATGTATGCCTAGAACAACATAGATCTCTAGATGCCATCTAGATGCCATAGTTGTACTCCGGCCCCACCAGGCCAGGCGCATTGCAAAGTCAGCAGCTCGAAACAGGAAGCCCTATGATCCATTGCATCAGCCTGA